GTCACTGTAGAGAAATCCAACTGATTTTTGTATGTTGATCTTGTATCCTGCTACTTTGCTGAATTGGTCAACTATGTCCAATAGTTTTCTTGCTGAGTTCTTAGGGTTTTATAAGTATACTATCATGTCATCTGTATAGAAGGATAATTTTACCTCCTCTTTGCCAATCTGTATACCTCTAATGTCTTTCTCTTGTCTTATTGCTATCGCTAAGACTTCCAATACAATATTGAATAAGAAGAATGGGCATCCTTGCCTAGTTCCGGTTCTTAAAGGAATATTAATAATATTCTAATGTTAACTTTTTAATTTTAGTTGGGTCTCTGTGATGTTGCCTGATTCATCTCTTATTCAGATTATTTGTGTCTTCTCCTTTTGTGAGTTTTGCTAGTGGTTTGTCGATTTTATTGACCTTTTCAAAGAACCAACTACTAGTTTTGTTGATAGTTTCAATTGTTTTTTGATTTTCTATTTTATTTATCTCTGCTCTAATTTTTATAATTTCAGGTTTTTTTTAGAAACTGATGGGTTTTCTTGCTGTTCTTTTTCAATGTGTTGGAGATGTTTGGTTAGAGAGTCAATGGTCAATTTTTCCTGCCTTTTGATGTGTTTGCTAATTGCTATAAATTGACCTCTGATCACAGCTTTGGCTGTTTCCCAGAGGTTTTGGTAAGTAGTGTACGCATTGTCATTTGTTTCAAGAAACTTTTTTTATTTCTTCTTGTACCCAGTCGTATTCAAGCAAGTTGTTGTTCAGCTTCCAAATGTATGATTTTTTTTCTCCTTTATTCTCTTGTTATTAATTTCTAATTTTGTGGCATTGTGATCTGAGAAGATACCTTGTATAATTTCTATGTTTTTTAATTTGTTGATGCTTGCCTTATGACCTAGAATGTGGTCTATTCTGGAGAATGTTCCATGCACATTGGAAAAGAAGGTTTATTGTGCTATTTTGGGGTGAATTAGCCTATAAATATCTATAAAATCGAGTTGGTTAATTGTGTGGTTTAATCCTTGAATATCTTTGTTGAGATTCTTTTTGGTAGTTCCACCTTTTCTTGAAAGGGCTGTATTGAAGTCTCCAAGTATTGTAGTGTTATCTATCTCCTTTTTCAACTTTGTTAATGTGTGTTTTATAAATTTTGCAGGTCTTTCATTTGGTGCATAGATATTCAATATTGTTATATCTTCTTGTTCTAT